AATCTGCCTGACTGTATGGGGATAAAATGTGTGTAAAACTGCAAACATAATTTAAGAACACCACTCTGTACACAGTACATACTGTACACGGAGATAGAATTCAGATAGTACAAAGTCTGTATAAGGGAATAGACTCTGTGTGATTTTTTAAGTCAAATCTGTGTAATAATTAAGAGAAAAATCCAGAAGTACAGCTGAGGAGATAGGTTGGCAGTATCAGTGAGAGGGGACAAGTTCATTCGTGGTCAGCTATTGCCCTCTGGTGGCGAACAGGGAGTGTTACAATATTCTGAAAAATTACACACTGAACATTTAGAATTAAAGACAATAATTGCCCAGTATATTAAATAAATACAAATGAACACGTATCAACAAAGTCAGATAATATAAACGAGGTCAATCATGGAAGGAGATTTTGAAAAAAATGAAACAGGAGCTCCAATTTCTGGAAGCTTCCGCGAGCAATGGGAACAGACGGAAAAATTGATTTTCAGTGGAATCAAACAGAGAGACAAGAAAAAGGCTGGGGCAGATCTGAGATTCCTAAAAAATAAAATGAGGGAGGAGGACAGAGTGGGATCAGATGAGACTTTGGGAAGTTTAAGCTCAGCCCTAAATGTGTATGAGCGACAGCTGGTAAAGAAACTTGGAGACATGAACGGGCAAAAGCCTGGATATTTTGGCCGTAAGAAACTAAACAAAGACAAAGAGGCGGTAGATAAATTAAGGAGGATTTGTCATAACGCAGCGCTCGCCATAAAGGGAGCGGCTATTCTCCTCCCTGCAAAAAAACCTGAGATTATGAGAGCAGCCCAAACACAAGGAGGGGAGTTTCAACGCTCTAGTGACGTTGGCACTCTCCTGTGCCCTCAGGACATTAAAGAAACAACAGTGTCAACAGTTCCACCTACGGACAAAGACATATTTGACTTTATTGCTAAACGCCTCGAATATTTTAAGGATATAAATAAAGATGAAACCTCGGCCTCTGATAGAGAAGACATAGGGAGGCAAACTATCCACAAAGCTGTAAATGAGGAGTGCACGGCACAGAAGGCTAGATCAGAGGAGAGGTCTCCAGCAGGACCTATAGGGGACGCGCCTGCTCCCATCTCTTCTCCCCTAATTTACCCGGATTTAGATGATTTATCCACACATCCCCCCCCCTTATTTTCTCCCTACCCCAAGCGCTCCACCCGTGTCTAATTTACAAATGATGGTATCAGGCACACCCTCCGATTCAGAACAAGACATAGCTACAATAAGAGGGGGACATTTTAAAATAGTGGGAAATGTAGCATTGACTCCTTTAAGGAACACTTCCACTACAAAGACAAGACCAAAAGATAAGAGTAGCTCTGCCTCAAGTGGAGGGAATAAAGGACAACAAGAAAGCCCATCAGACCAAAGTCAGATAAATAAGAGGGAGCAGTTTATTTCCATGCTGGAAAATGCAACAAGAAACCACGCAGAACCCACACAGGAAGAAATATTCCACATGGCAGAAACCTTGGAAGAGAGGGAAACACAGGAAAAGCAGACAGGTGTAGGAAGCAACAGAGAGGGTAGGAGCCCTGGAGCAATGGCTTATATGACAGCCTGTGAACAAATGGGAGGAATGGAGGACGCTGGGAGGGAGCCAGTGAATCAGAGGAGAAGCATAGATAAAAAAGACATTCAGGACAGAACAGAAGACAGATGCTCTGAGGAGGGGTGGTCAAGTAACCCTTTCAGAGGTAGAGGAGCCCAGACCCACTATTACCCAGTCAATGTAGAAGGAGCAGCTGGAGATGAAAGTGATAAGTGTTACTCTGAAGCAGAAGACACAGCACACAGACATAGCTATCAGGAAAATGTTCAGCCAGGGTTAATAGAACAGGAAGAGGAGCACTGCAGAAAGAGTAAGAGCAAGGTTAAAAATATATCTCTGACAGGAACAATCACTGAATTGCCTGAAGAACAGGTTCTTGCACTCCCCCGTAGGATGTTAAGAACCCAACACACCTCAGAAAACCCCACGTCTCATACCTTTATGTGCCCAGCATTACAGGCGCCTTTAGTGGTTCTCCCCAGTGGGAATATCGCTTACCACCCTTTCACACTGGGAGACATACATGCTATAGTTGATAAAATGCCCCTACCTACTGAGGGAGGGAGACATTGGATGAGTAGGTTTGCTGATATGTCAGTAGGACAAACAATCTGCCTTGGAGATTTCAGGAGAATATTAGCACAACAGACTTCCCACTATGAGGCAGAAAGAGTTGAGAAAAGAGCAGGAACAGAAACAATGAATGATAACAAGCCCTGCTCTTCCAATAACATACACAGCTTGGTGAGCAAGGCAATGAGAGAGCATTTCCCACAGACAGGAGGAGGTTACGGTTCACTGTCCTTCACATTTACACCCGGAGAGGCCGCCGCAACCATGTTGCTCAGGTCACGCCAAGAATACACAGCGGCTACTGACTGTAGTCCCGATAATAATGACCAACATAAACAGATGTTCCGTAAAGCAATAATGGCAGCAATACCTGCCGAGATTAAAACTCTTATGGAAGACAACCCAGAAATAGATCACATAAACACACAGACATGGGAGCGTCATTTGGCCCATCATTTAGGCAAATTTAACAAACAGCTCAAAAAGAATAAAACCGAGGAAGAAGAGTTGAGAGTGCAACTACTCCGTACTCAGTTAGATATAGCCCGTAAAACAATCCAAAATGAGAAAAAGGGTGTCAAACAGCTGATTGTTCATCCAGTGGCGCCAGCAGAGCAGGCACCGGGGCCGCAAAACCCACAAGGGGGTTTTCCCCACCCAGGTCCGTCATATAACCAGGCCCAATATGACTACAATAATGGTTTTCAGCAACAGAGGGGCGGGTTTAGAGGCACAACTGGAGGTAGAGGAGGGTTTGGAACAGCTGCAGGAGGGAATCAGCCGCAGGTGTGTTTCACCTGTGGACAGGCCGACCACTGGTACCAGCAGTGCCCACAGGGACCCCCACCAAGAGGGCGGGGAAAAGAGGGACCGAGAGGGCGTGGACAAGGGAACCGACGAGAAATGCAACATTTCCAGAACCACCATGAGGCAGCCCCACAGGCCCAACACCGAGACCAAGGTCACATTGCACCCAACGCGATGGCCGCCCCCTATGGCCAGTTTGTCCAGAACGAACAAGACTATAACTTACCACAATGAGGTCGCCCAGAGAACTCTGAATGTATGGGCTTAGCGGATCTGTACATGGACATGACTGTAAAAAACTCGAAGCTACCATTCCTTGTTGATTCAGGAGCTAGATATTCAACTATCAACTCCCCCAACTTCAACACGTGCATTTCGAGGAGTACAGTCTCAGTCATAGGGTTTTCGGGAGAAATAGAGCAAGTACCGCTCACTACGCCATTAAACACCAGAATAGCAGGCCAGATATTTTTCCATCAGTACATTCTGGCACCCCAAAGCCCGGCTAACCTAATGGGAAGGGATGTTCTTGTCAAAGCTAATGCCTCCATCCTCTGTTCCCCCGATGGACTAATAATATCGTTCCCAGATGGCACTCGTCTCAATTGTTCATTATTCAACATAAAGTCAGGTTCTCAAATGATGTTGGCCCAATCCACTGAAGCAGAAGCAATTCAGTATGCCACTATATTCTGGGGGTTGCTCGACCGGCCCCAAGATAATACATGAAGTAAGAAGATATGATTCTACACTGTATTGAAGTAAACATATATTGTTTGAACGGGTTTTGATAATCACTTAGAAAAAGAATGTTATTCTCACTTTTAAATTCACTGACTTAGAGATTCTGTGTTTCACACACCAACATTGATCCTTATCACCACTAAGAGCCAGATGCTGTTTCTAAGTCGTTAAAGACATCGTAAAATAGGAAAAGATCCCCTGGGAAGGAATGTAGAGTAAGATAAGGTAAAGATAAACATTGACTTTTGACCTAGTGTGGTTTGGGGTCTCACTCTGTTCGAAACTCTGATTGACCTCGGCCAGAAGCGAATCCAGCCAATCAGGACACTTGGAGGAGGTGGTCAGTTTAAACAGCTCCTCCCCAGGGGTTCTCTGATTCGCTTGGGAGAAAAGTGGGAAGGAAGAATCGACAAATCTCCGCCCCAAAGACAGATAGAAATACTGACGTTTGTGTGTGTAAAATTGCTTTTGGGTTTGGTGAGTTTGTTGGTTCCGATATCTGTGTCCGCATCGAATCACAAACTTGAAGTCCAATTTCTTCTCGTTTGATGAGTTTGTCTGGTCCCGATGCATTTATCCGCATCGCATCACAAATCTAAAAGCCCAGAGTACTCGAGTACTCTGTATAACTTGTATATGTGTTTGGTTTCCTACTAGAAGTAAACTCAGATAATTTGTTATAACTTTGATTCCGGTGTTTTCAATTCCTTTCTTAATTTAATAGAGATCCAGCCTCATCCAACGAACGGCGCGTAGCAGAGGTATTCTACTCCAACATACACCAGGACTGTTTTCCATTTTTCAACAATGGAAGCCGTGGATTAACCTCCTCAGACCTTATGGTTCCCCTCCAGATCCTCCCCATCTGACGCTAAATTATGACAGACAAGACGACCAAAGTTATGACTATGCGTATGACGCAGAGGTGTCTATGTCCGTTTGGAAAGTAACCACAACCAATTTATTTGTGGGAGAAGCGGGGGTGGCTGCGTCTGTTGACCTCACTGATGAACAACTATTTTGGTACCGTATGACAGCTGAAGCTACACCACACATTTCATTAGCTATCAGAAAGGGCTATAAAGCTAAAGAACTTGGTCCCATGGTAAAAACACTGCTAGAAGTTAAAGATTGGGAACCAACTCAGATAGCAGCACTCACATACTCTCCCTCACACAAAGCTTATGCTCTAAAAATCTGCACTCAAGAATGCCTCTTCATGGAGAGACACGAAGTGGATAGGCATCATGGTAGGGAGAAAACTGACCATGCATTCACTGAGGATATGTTGCGTGACCTCCCGCCTGACCTGTGGTCAGCTGACTCTCATGACGTAGGTTTCTGCTCAAAGGCTGCATCAATAACATTTGAGGTGAGCAGCTCTATACCTATAAAACTATCACAGTACCCTGTTAAACCACAGGCCAAAGGGGGTATCAGCAAGACAATTGAGGGACTAAAGAGAGCGGGAGTATTGGAACCCTCACAAAGCGAGTGGAATACTCCAATACTCCCGGTACCAAAACCTAGCGGGGAGTACAGAATGGCTCATGATTTGAGGACCATTAATGCTATCACGACTACAGCTCTGATACCAGTTCCTAACCCATACACAGCTATCTGTAACATCTCACCTGAACATACATGGTTCACCTGTATTGACCTGGCCAACGCTTTCTTCTGCATACCTCTAGCAGAGGATATGAGACCTATTTTTTCATTTACAATGGGCGGGGAAAAACTGCAGTACACAAGACTACCACAAGGTTTCAGTCTGTCTCCAGGAATATTTAACAAAATACTCAGGGAACAGCTAGACGGCGTTTCATTGCCAGAGGGGGTGGTAGTGATACAGTATGTAGATGATCTTCTCATTGCAGCACCCTCCGCAGCCTCTTGTTTAGAGGCCACCAGGAACCTACTGGTTCGCCTCCACGCAACAGGGTTCAAAGTCTCTAAGAAAAAGCTACAATGCACCCGTAAAGAGGTGACATTTTTGGGCAGAGTAATCTCTCCAGCAGGTACGGGCATGTCAGCAGCTCATCAGGAGCACATTTTATATCACCCCAAACCCAAGACAGTCAAAGACATGCTATCTTTTCTGGGTCTCACAGGCTACAGAAGACACTACATCCCAGAGTATAACCCAAGAACAGTTGAACTCAGAACACTGATCAATGAGAAAGTCATGCGCAATCTCACTGCCACAGTGAACTGGACACAAGCTGCAGAAGCTGCGTTCATTTCTCTCAAACAATCCATGTCTCAGGTCACCTCTCTCGCCGCTGCATCCTATGCATTGCCATTTTTTCTTGACATTTCTGAAAGTGGAAACACAGTAAATGGTATTCTATTTCAGAAAAAGGGGGAATGTAGAACAATACTGATGTACATTAGTATCACACTGGACAGAGTGGAAAACAGAGAACCTCCATGCACGAGACATGCAGCAGGTACAGCACGTATCTTAAACAAGATTTCACACATTGTGATGAGCCACCCTTTGACAGTACTGACAACACATAGCATTGTTTCTTTTGTGAACTCAAGTGCATTCACAATGACTTCCACAAGACAGACCAGGTTAGAGAAAACTCTGACACGAGCACACATCACCTACACACATGTGGGAGTTAACAGCGCAGACACCATTGTTAACGGAGAACCCCATAGGTGTGAGGAAAGAGTCATCCAGGATGTGAAGCTAAGAATAGATCTCAGAGACGAGCCTATGACACATGCAGAGAACCTGTTCACAGACGGCTGTTGTTTCAGACACCCCACCAACGGGCTCCAAGCGGCCTACGCAGTGGTGGGTCAAACAGCTGAGGGAGGTTTTGAGGAAAGAGCAGCATAAAAAGTAACAGGGAAAGTCTCAGCACAGTTGGCAGAAGTAATGGGAGTCATTGCAGCATTGGAACTATCAAAAGAAAAAGATGTAAACATCTATACTGACTCAGCATATGTCCATGGTGTCCGACATGTGGAAATGCGCCAGTGGATGAGAGCAGGATTTGTAACATCCACCAATACCCCCATCAAACACGAGAAAGAGATCAAAAGGCTTGCAGAAGCAGTAATGTTACCCAACAAGCTAGCTTTACTCAAGTGCAAAGGTCACAGCACGGCAGATAACTACTTGACTTGGGGTAACAATGCAGCAGACAAAGCAGCTAAAGCCAAAGCAGGGTATACACCCCGGTTTCAAATGCTTGTTAAAAAATCTGCTGACTTACTGCCCGCAGTAACAGATGATACTCTTAAAGAAGCTCAAGCATCAGGGTCGCCTCAAGATAAAACAGTATGGTTAAACAGAGGAGCTACCAACAAAGATGGGATATGGTACTCCCCAGATGGGAGACCAGTGATACCCCCAGGATGGGTAAGATCAATGCTTAAAAAAGCACACGGCCCAACACATTGCGGTAAAACTCAGATGAGCAGACACCTGACTCACTGGTGGCACCCTTACCTACCTGACATTATAGCTAATCACCTGGAAGAATGTGTAATTTGCTTAACCCACAACATCAGAGCTACTGTAAAACCACACCAGGGAAAGTTCCCTTTACCTAAGATGGCAGGAGAAGAAATCATCATTGACTACACTGACATGATTGATAAAGTAAGAGGGTTCAGGTATTTACTAGTTGTGGTAGATGCATACACAGGTTGGCCAGAAGCTATGCCATGCAAGAGAGAGGATGCAGACTCAGTGATCAAATTCCTAGTCACGCATTATATTCCACTACATGGGTTTCCTAGGAAAGTGAGGTCAGACAATGGCAGCCATTTCAAGAACCATGACCTAAGCACAGTAGAACAGTCCTTAGGACTAAGACACAGTTTTGGAGCAGTCTACCATCCACAATCACAGGGAAAGGTAGAAAGAATGAACCAGAACATCAAACAGAAACTCAGCAAAGCATGTGAGGAGACAGACATGAACTGGCTAGATGCCTTGCCTCTGGCCCTCATGTCAATCAGAAGCTCCATTAACACAGGGACAGGTTTCACCCCATTTGAGCTGACACATGGCCACCAATTCCCGGGCCCAGGAGCCTTGAGCGTAGGAAAGGAAGTAGAAGAGATGAGCTCAAAACCATATTACCGGCAACTTAAGGGCCTGGTATCAGACTTCTCCACACAGGTTGCTGACGCCAAAGGGGGACCCGAGAAACACGAGGCCAACACAGCAGAGTTCGTCTGGCTGAAAGCCATCAGGCCTAAGTGGCTCAACCCCAGGTTTTCCGGCCCCTACCGAGTGACCCAAAGGACCTCCCATGCCGTCCGCCTAGATGGAAAGGGAGACAACTGGTACCACTGGAGCCAGTGTGCGGTCGGGAAAACACCTGCGAGGACCCTAGACGACATCAGGACAGATCTGGCCCTCGTCAAGGCAGTCGACCCGGAAGCCGCCATCAGCGGGCCGGAGGAGGAGGATCGGGAGGACATCTCTCCAGCATCGACCCGGAGGCCGCCATCAGCGGGCCGGGGGAGGACAATCCGGACAGATGACTGGAGAAGGCAGCTCAGAAGCCGCCTTCAGCGGGCTGGGGGGACAAAGACACGGAAAACCAAGACGGCATAGGGAACTCCACTTCCCGCTGAAAAAGGTTGAGAGAGCCGGTGTGGAACTTTGTTTAATAATCCATTTTTTGAGGAACTTTCAACTTTATTTTTATATCTCATAATTTAAGGGATTTGTATTTTTTATTCTACAGAACTATGTGTTACCAAAAGAGGGAAAAGTTTAATAATGTCTTTTCTAATTTCTGTGACTACTTTTATTGCCATTTTAGTGACATGTGGTTGTTGTTGTGTGCCTTGTATCCGCTCATTGTGTGTTACTCATCAGTTCCACCATTGAGGGAAAAGTTGCCCTTTCCCCTTCGTACCGAATGCCCTTGTTGGCTTATGCGTCGGAGGGGGAAGAGTACGATGACTCAGCTGACAAGGACGAACTTTTTAAAAACATATTTTATTCTCCCTCCACTGTCATAAGAAGTTGTTGTTGTGGACTGTTCCTAAAGGTTTAAAGTGCTTTAAATCCCAGCTTCTGATGGATTTATATAAATGTTGGGACAGACACAGTAGAAAAGAATGACAGTGGTTATGTTTCAAATGCTATATGTTGATCTCGTGAGGTGAGATCAAAAGAGGGATTGAAGTAAAAAGATATGATTCTAAACTGTATTTTAGTGAACATGTATTGTTTGAACTGTTTTAAGTAATCACATATATAGAAATTATATTCTCACTTACAACTCACTGACTCAGAGATCCTGTTTCACACACATACACCTCCTTCTTATCAGCACACACACACATATTCTTTTCAAGGTTCTTTATGGGCATCATTATATCTGTATACAATGTTTAATTGTCTGAGAGTAACTATTTATGTGAAATATTCCATGGGAAAATAAGGGAGTGGATATCGGGGCAGAGATAAGATTGACTTTGACCTTGTGGAACCTTAGAATCTCACGTTCTGGTCAGAACTCTGATTCGCTGTATTGAACCCGACCAGAAGTGAATCCAACCAGTAAAACACCTGGGGGATGTGAGCAGCTCACACAGCTCCTCCTCACGGACTCTCTAATTCGCTTCGGAGTAAAATGGGAAGGTAGAAGTCAACACATCTCCGGCCCAAAATATGAATATGAATACTGTTGTTTTTGTATGAAAAATGTTTTCTGGTTTGCTGAAAGCTGGTCTAGAGACGTGTAAACCGCATCACAAACCTGAAGTCCGTACTTCTCGTTTTCTGAAGGCTGGTCTGTCTACCTGTAAACCGCATCACAAACCTGAAGTCCGGAGCACTCTGTAAAACTTGTATACGTGTTTTGTTTCCGACGAGAGTAAACTCAGATAATTGTTATAACTTTTGATTCCGGTGTTTTCAATTCCTTTCTTTATTAAATAGAGATCAGCCTCATCCAACGAACGGCGCGTAGCAGAGGGGGGGGCTATCAGCCACCACCAATAGGTGTTCTGCTCCAACAGTAATGAGCACACATTTCTATGCATTAAAAAGCTAAATATACACCAACTTTTTTGTTTGCCTATAACGGGTAACGTTATGTTAAACATCGCAAAAATGTTTATGCAAAACAGCCACTTATCTATTAACATGCATCTTAAACTGTAAGCTATAGGGTGCGGACGTGCGGTAATAGGCCTACCTTAAACTTGTTTACGGAGCTATTTTGCATTTTATAGCTCAAAATGAAAGTGGCAGCCTCCATTGTACCTAATTTTGGCAGTTGCAGCTAGCAGTCGCTCTCAAACATACCCCCAGTTAATCGAACTATTTTTTTATGGGTTTTATTTATTTTTTATTTTTAGTTAGCGGCATTTAACAACTGCATTAAATATGGGTGACAGGGCCAGAGATATTTTAGATAGATTGTTGTTTTACTAATGAGAAGGTTAAATCCCCAAAGACAATGATGTCAGTATTTATACTATGTATTGATGTATTGCTCAAATATATTATTACTTGAAAACAGTTGAGTAATATTTTAAAACCTGTTGATTAGTAGGCCTATATTAACAATAACAAATAGAACAGAGTATAAACAATGTCTTTAATTTAGTCTGCATCTCATGCACAAGATGCGCTGACACTAATGTGGTACCGATTGATGTCTGTCCAATAACACTGTCCATACTTAATTCCTCTTTTGTCAGTCATAAGAACATCTACAGTGAACATTTGAAATAGTCAAATACATACTATATATATATGTCATAGGTATTTTAACAAAATAAGTGTAAACTTTCACTACAAAACAAAACAACCACCCCCTGCCAGTACATAGTTCAGAATGGATCTTCTAGACCTGCCTGTACAGACTTGGTGCAAGATGGTTCTCTCCGATACTACTACTTTGCATGGTTAACCAGGTTCAGACTGGTATTGTGTACTATAGAGGTGGGTAACAGAAGGCATGTAAGAGTCACCTGTAATCCACCACCAGTATTCTGGCAGAAATGTCACTGAAACATTGAAGTAGGGTAGGCCTACTTGACAAACTGATAATTTGATAATATTAAAGTTATTTAGTTCCTTTGTCAATTTGGTGTTTATATTTTTGCTTTTTTTTATTGCAGGTTCAAGATGCCAAGAGGGTCAACAAACACAACCTGCGTCGGCTGCAAAGCAGTCATTGCTGTGGCCACCAAGACCTGCAAGTTCTGCAAAACACTGCAGCCGAGAAAGCAACGACTGGCCAAGAAACTGCAAAAATTTGAGGCCAAAAAAGATGATTGGTTAAAAAAACAAAAAAAGAACAAAACCAACTCACATGTTCTTGATGAGGCATCTGTTTTGGTGTGTGTTTATGTCTCTAATTGTAGTTTACAAAATTAAGTCTGATAAGGTTTCTGTATTACATTTAAATCTTTTTTTTTAGGTTGAGAAACTGAACACCCTTGGGTATAGGGCCATGGTGTTTCTCTCAAAACCAGGGAAAAAGCCTTCCACCTGGAAGACAAATGTTGCACATCCGAGATGGCATCTGTCGGACCAGGCTGCAAAATGCCTTGACCGGATGAAGGCTTTATATGAGGTGTTAGTAGATGGTAAGCAATTATATTTGTGGTCATTTCAAATGTTACCATATAGCTCAGTCTATTCTAAAATGCTCATGAACAATTTATGGAAAAAATACTTAATGATTCAACAATTCATTTAATTTTACACACACAGTCTAGGTAAAATAAATGTGTAATTAAGAAGAAGCTGACATCAGAAACAATTGTGTTACTATGTTGTATAAATATATATTCAAAGTAGAAATTGAGCTGCTGAATGCAAAACAAATCAACATTACTCTGATAGTTTTGTCTTTTTGTGTCATTGAGGTTGGACTAACCCACAAACCTCACCCAGTCTGGACGCTGAACCCTCCACAAGTGCTCCTACCACCATCCCCTCACCTAGTTCAAACGCCGAACCCTCCACAAGTGCTCCTACCACCATCCCCTCACCTAGTCCAAACGCCGAACCCTCCACAAGAGCTCCTACCACCATCCCCTCACCTAGTCCAAACGCCGAACCCTCCACTAGTGCTCCTACCACCATTCCCTCATCCAGTCCAGAAGACCGACCCTCCTGCTCCCTACTAGTCCCTACTAGTCCTGCCATACAACCCTCTACAGGTCCTGCAACTCCAGCAGCACAAAGAAAAAGGACTGCAGCAGCAAAAAAGAAACAGGGTAGGTTTTAGTGGCAATTTTAAATAGCTTATACATCCAGAGGACAATACTACAAAGCAAATTCACATACTTTAGGTATTTTTGCGTTATCTTACTTCACTAACCTTAATAGCCGCAATCTAGCTAAATTGTCACATAACAGTAGTTATCAACTTGGTAAATAAACCCCAAACTAGCCATGAGCAGGTTCACATAAAGGGGAACTGTTTGCCCCATATGACCAATGGTAAACATGGACAGGTATACTAGGGCCCTTTCTCATGTCTTCAAATGTTCCTCCTCGACTCCCCTCCTCGACTCCTATCCTCGAGACTTAGTCCCGCCCACAGGAGATGCGAGCGGAGGAGCCGAGGAGGGGAACCGAGGAGAGAGGAGGGGAAGCAGCAGGCGGTTAGAGAAATGAGAACTCCGCTCCTCTGAGCGGTCATTTTAAAGAGACGTCCATTAATGATGACAGGAGGCACAGCAGCCCTCTGTCTGATGGACAGATGTGTTCATGACGACTTATATATTTACTTTTAATTCATTCACAGTGCGGTATAATGAGACAATAACAGGCTACAGATGCGGACATACACACAGACACACACACACACACACACACACACACATATATGTATATATTTATATAAATATATACAATTTCAGAATCAAACAGAGCACTCTCATAATAACGTAACACTATCAGAGACTGGATATATCCCCCCCCCCCCTCTCTGGTCGCTACAATGAGGGAAATAAATGACGGGCCAAAAGTTTTATTTACAAGTATTACAAGTAAGCAGAGGACACCAAACCAACTGAGACCTGTCTGTCCGCTGCATCTACGCACACACTGTACCACACACACCTACACCACACACACGCACCTACAGCTCCTAAAGCATATAATCAGACTACAGCCGTTGTGTATTTTATTATGTGAAGCACTAAATGGTTTTAGAAAAATATCGACTTTGTTTGTAGATATCTACTAAACTAAAGCAAATAAAGAGAGTAGGCCTGTTATACTGAGTGATATGATATATATTATACACACTGCTCTGCTTTCTGCACGGACCTCACAGCTGTTCTCACTGTAAACATCGCGTC